TAATAAGTTGGGCCGGGCCTGGGCCGGGCTCATAATTTAACGGGCCGGGTACGGGTTTAGGCAAACCCGGCCCAACCCGGCCCATTGCACACCCTACTTATGCCCAATACTGGTTACACGTGATATATAATAAATTCAAGAAAAAAAAAAATTTAACGGAATAGCGAATCGAATAGATCAAAATGCAAACTAGTTCAGAAGAGTCAATGATAATTGATCCAGATTTTATTCCAAAAGAAACTACTAGCGATGAGGTTGAAACCGAAAAATCTGCTATGGTGGTTGATAATAATATTAGTGAATGTAATAAACCAAAATTTAGACCTGCTAAAAGACATGAATTAAGAGTAATTTTCGTAGTTTCCTTGATTAATTACAAACCTTCAACGGAGAATTGTATCAATCATAATTATTATAATTTTATTAGAGTTCTACACAATTTCGTGAAATTCCCGTTCCGCGGCACCGTTTTTCTCCGTTGATAAAAGAATGGAAAAAAATTTATGAACCTCTTGTAAAACATTTGAATTTGCAAGTTAGAATGAATCTTAAAGCAAAACGCGTCGAATTAAGGGTAATTCTGATCTTTCATAAAATTTTGTAAAAGGTATTATTTACAGAAACTGACATACTTGCCATAATCCTAGACATCTAAATATACAACGGATTTAGGATCAATTCAAAAGGCTGCAGATTTTGTTAAAGCTTTCATGTTAGGATTTAACGTTGACGTAATGTGTTATAAATTCTTTTAACTAATCCGAATAATTTTGTCGTTCATCTATTTTTACATTTACAATGTTTAATAAAATTAGGATGCGATTGCCATATTACGTGTAGATGATCTTTATATTGATTCTTTTGATATTAAAGATGGTACATTTCAAGAAAAATTAATTTATGACAAGACTATCTGTCGAGTACTAACTGCTACGCAAAATTTTAGTTAAAACACTGGAAGGTGATCACCTATCTCGTGCTATAGGTCGCATTGCTGGTAAAAATGGAAAAGTAAAATTTGCTATCGAAAACGCATCAAAAACTAGAGTCGTCTTGGCTGATACGTATGTACTAAGTATAATATATATATTTTTGCGATTTTATAAAATCACACCGGTGGTGTTTAGCACCCTAATTGCTATATCTCCAAGTTATTAGCACTTGGTACTCTAAGCAAAAATGTTCTACGTCCTAGAACCCTTTTTAATGCTAAAATTACTATAAAAATATATATGGTATTAGGCACCACTAGTATAATTCGATTGTAAATCTAATTCATTCTCTTAATACAAAAAGATCAATTCACATTTTAGGATCCTTTCAGAATATCAAAATTGCTCGGGACGCAATTGTTTCTTTGATTTTAGGTAGTCCACCTGGTAAAGTGAATGCAAATTTGGCAATTGTTTCTTCTAGAATGAAGCAAAGATTTTAAAAAAAACATTGTATTGGGGGCAGAAAAGGTAACTTAAGAGTTGACTATGAACATCAAATTTATTATGAGAAAACAACTATACATCATTTATATTTTAAAATGTTCATGCCTATTTTTATAATACAGTATAAATTTAGGAATAAGTTATTCATTGTTCAAAGAAATATAAAAAACTAAAATATAAAAATTTCTTTTCAAGAATTGTCTGACATTTGGTATTTAAAAAATACACAATATACTATTCACTAAAAAAGATTATCCCAAAATGGGTAATTATTAAAGGGGTTGTACATTCCTACTGTACAAATGTAAAAAACATGATATATATATTTATCAAATGCTCGTCCGTACGTAAAATAAACTATATGCGGCACGGGTCTTTTAAAAAAAATATATAACAATTAGCATTTGTAAGATTAAAATTGCCTGAAAATCAATCATAGACATACCATAACATTTTTTTCATTACATATCGATACACGACTATCATCAAAGGTATGCCATTCGTTCCTATTTCGTACGCACGCGGTATAATGACCACCATTTAATCCGCCGTAATGGTTTGAAACTGCGTACAGGTCATATATGAAAGGTCCAGTTTGTTGTAATGATCCACCAGAACCAGGAATATCCATTTTTGGTATGGAACCAATCTGAGTAGGTTGTGGTATTGGCGTGGGCACATACGAAGTTAAATCCAAATTTTTAAGTGGAAAAAATACATTTGTATCAAGTTTATCCCTAAAAGGACCATCAAATGAAAATCTTTTAAGGTGTATCAATAAGATATCGGGTAATCTTGATTGGAAAGATATAGCAAATGGGGTTGAACCGGAATTCCAACAAAAATTTGACATTATTGTAGGAGCAGATAT